CGAATGGCTGAATTGTTGCTTTCCGCAATAGTATATTGAATTCCTTTATATTTACCATAAGGTTTTTATGTCTTTTCGTGGTTGATACACGACCTAATTACCAAAATGGCATAATTATTATAAAAAAATAATTTTATTATCGATTTTATGATATCATTTAAAATATTTGTACTTTGTTTACTATTTTTATTGAAGAAAATATTTATTATTTATACGTATCTACATGAAATATAGTGTCAAATAGGTCCCAAAATCGATTAGCCAACTACCAAGGACGTGTTGTTTTTTTTTCATATCGTATGTATTATAATAACAATGCATTTTTATATACATTTCAAGAACAGCGTCATTTAAAAACAATGTTTTTATCGAAGCATTTCTAGGAAGACTCGACACTAAATGAATAATCTAAGATTTTCACAGTATGACTGTCTTTTTCGTGTATCAACTTTTAAGAAAGCACCATAATCAATATAAGGGTGGCCAAATAAATTATAATGGAATTGAGTTCACTTGGGGTTGTATTATTTGCAAAAACAGCCTCCTTTTCAATTCATTACATTTCATGCGTAATTATTATTTATGAGTTTACTTTGTTATTTATTTATACGGAGAATTGGTTTGTGGAAAAATAACTTCATTTATTTTAGTAGTCTAATATTAACATTGTTAAATATTATTTTATTTTACATATGTTTAGAAAGTAAATGAAATGTTAGGCCACCAATTGTGACCATATAGACAGTGTTTGGAATTGTGGAGGAGTCAAAGTTTCCAGAACCAGCATTAATTTAAAAATATGTATGATATAAAGCAAAAGTACGTTGTGTAATGATGGGCATCATAGATTGGAATATTGCTATGTTTAATAATATGTAATTAGTTTCCTCGACAAGAGGAAAATCTTCACTAATAAAAAAATAATATGTAACATTATACCGTTAATCCCTCTAGAAGTAAATAAATAAATTGACCAGGATTAAAAAAAATCTATTACAGTTTTTAATGAAGGTAAAACTTGTTGTACTTGTACCTAGCAGTCTCTCGTCTTATAAGGATCGGATCCTTCATAGTTTTTATATCGAGCTCATGCTTGAAAATAATCGATGAATTAATCAGTTAATTAAGGAGGGAAAGGGATTGTTAGCAATGGAGTTTCACAGCCTCATTGCTAGCAATATGCCTTATTAGGTCGACCTCCACGTGGTTCCCCCTGGAAACCATCGTGAACAATTCTTGTTGAATTCGTCACGATGGGCTAACTGACCTACTTCATCCTCACCTTTCATCCTTCACTGGTGCCTCGCCGGTGTATACTGATAGCGCGGGTGGGGTTACCATTCCATTATCATCCATTAAAAAAAATCAGTTAATCAATTATTCAAATACTTTATTTGCTCTACTACTACTACTACTACTCAGGACCGTTCCTTATGGCAGTCTATGGGGGAGGCTTTTTTCCAGCAGTGGATGGATAATGGCACAAATGATGATAATGATGATGATGCTATTACGTAATAGCTTTTCTGGTTGTTGCCCCGTACTTTTTTTATCTCATTTATGTCCCCCAAATGGATAGTTCGGGGGGGTGTTCGGTTCAAAAACTCACGGAACGATCTTGGCGCAAATCTTTTTTTTCATTTGAAGTTCGTTTCTTAGAATTTCGTGGACCACGGTTTTGCGCAAATTAAGCTCTTCAGCCACGGGGTTTCGTTGACCGTTAAACGAATTACACAAGTTCGAATTCTTTCCACGTTTTCTCGTAATAGTTCGAATTCTTTCCACGTTTTCGTCGGAATGTGAAGTGGAAGGACGTCCTGAACGTGGGTCATCTGAACGCTTTCTCGGCCCTCTCTGAATCTTTTTAGCCACTTGTGGATGGGATGGTAACCCCGCCTGCGCTAACGGTATACGCTGTTAGGGCACCAGTGAGGGATGATACGTAAGAATGAAAAAGGCAGGTCAGTTAGCCCATTGTGATGAATATACCTAGAATTCAGCACGATGGTTTAGCACCAGGGGGAACCACGTGGAGGTCGACCTGACAGGGTATATTGCTAGCAATAGGACTGGTAATCCGCATTTTTAACAATCCCTTCCCCCTATACATCTGGGTTGTAATGCTATACAGTTCTTGGATATAATATTATATGTATTACCGTGGCCCAAAGATGAGAGAGAAAGTTAGTAACAAGAGGTTAAGAAGTTTTCAGTACGAAAATTTTGGAGTGTTACCTATATATAAAGGGTCTCTTTAGTAGATAATGAAAAACACATTCAAAGCACTCGACTGACTTTTGCAACGTAACAGAATTAGCTTAACAAATATTTTTTACTCCTTGATTAGGCATATTTATACAGTCTACGGTAAATTTGAGAGTTTATAAAGATGTTTGGATTTACTCACAATTTAATTTTTTAATGAAATTTGTCAAGCAAATGTATTGACACACATTTCTTATTTATATATATTTTTTACGCTTATGTTCATTAATAATTATTTTATTAATTATTTGATTCTTATTTTTTCGCAGACAAAGCTTTGACCTTAGTTTCGACTTATAGCGTAAAAAAAAATATTTTGTTTACGGTTACGAAGCTCATAACTGGTGAACCCTGTTTCATATATAACTACCACCATTTTGCTCCCATAATAATATCATTACAAGAGCAAAAGGATACGAGCAAACAGAAAGAATGTCAAATAAGTCAAACAAGTTTTTTTTCACAATCACTGGCTTTAATCATTATAAAATTGAAATGAAATCAAGATCAATGGGAGTAAAATACAGTGGTTTGAAAAAAAAAAACAAATCTGTGCAAAGTTGGCGATGAGATTATAAAATACATACTAGCGATTCGGTTCGTCTTTTCACGGGTAAAAAGAATTTCCGAAAATAATACATATTATTACCTGTTAATCTAGCTTTCTATGGATGAAAGAATTTTTAAAATCGGTTGATTAGTATTTAAACTAATCCATTAAAAACAATCAAATCTTTATAATATTAATAAAGACATAAAAGTAATATAAGATCGTTTAAAAATAGAATCAATTTCGAATGCTACTGAATTACCTTTTATTTCCAATTGTAATCGTTGTAGTTTATTTTAAGATCCACCTGTTTTGGTAACTGCACCTCTTCCATACTTTGTAATCTTACAGCCCACGTTTCAAATCAAAACACGACCATGAAAGCATAGCAGTTTGGCTCCAGAAATATGAGTGGGACAGAGGTAATCAAACAAATGACTTTTATACAAAATCTCCCTTTGATATTATTATATATGTTTATTTTTTTCACTTTTAAAACTTATTCATTTATTTAAATTTCAATGCACAATTATATAAGTAAATATATGGCGGACATAACACCTAACGGCATTCTCTACCAGTCAACCATGAGGCAAGCAGAAAATTATGTAGGCAGTGCATTTAATACTAAAATAATTAAAAAAATTTTATACAACTTAGAATGGCAAACAAGCTGACGGTCCACCTAATGGAAAGTGATAACCGTCGCCTATAGACATGAGCAGTACCATGGACATAACAGAGTATACTGTTTCACCCATGATACCCCCTATGCGTTGCCATTCCTGAGGACTCAGGTGTTATTCCTCTGTACCCAGTAAATTCACGCCATATCCCACCCTTTAAACCGAAATACAGTACAAATCCAATTACAGTATCAAAAATAAATATATTTATTATTATTATATATTACTTCTTAATAGTCCACCGCTGAACATCCCCAGGGCATCCTCAGGGCTGGTTGGTAACCGCAGTTAGGTTTTGGTGATGTTTTAAAAGGGACGCTACTGCCTACCCTACGACCATTAGATTTCCTTAGTCACCTATTACTACACCCACAGGAAAGGAAGGGAGTGGTCCAAGAATAGATCCGGCATAGAAATGCCGAGACCACACGGCATAGAATAGATCATCTCACGCAATAAATATACCTACTACTTCATCATCACCCTTTAACCTATCAATCTTTAACTGTCTACTGCTAAACATAAGCCTCCCCCTAGGGGGGTTTTGCCAGTAGTTACCACGCTTGGCAGGGGGATTGGCAATCGCAGTTAGGCTTTGGAGATGTTTTAAGAGGGATGCTGCTGCCTATCCCTCGCCCTCCCTTAGCCGCCTCTTACGAAACCCACGGGAAAGGAAGGGGTGGCCTATTCTATACCGGGACCACACAGGATACGTATTAATATCAAATATATTAACGTCTATATATAAATTTTATGTAATTTACTATTTTTGTCGATTCTGACAATTACTTCAATTTCGCTTTTCCTGTTAAAATTTACTGTATCTTCGAATATAATGTAACTGTACGTTCAATTATTAAATTCAGTATGTACCAATCCCTTTCATTATTTTCGGGAGCGTAGCCCGTAATCCAATACATTATTGTTAAACCAAGAAAATGAGAGTTAGTTTTCGGTTTTCCGGTAGTGACGGCATACATATGTTTTAGCAACTTATATATTATTCACAGGGATTGTGATTCACTTTTGAAGAAAACAGTATTTTTTATTTTTGTCGGAAACACAGTACATTTCGTAAAAGGAAACGTTACAGACTATAAAACATTGGCCTCCCCTATAAGAAGGGGGGTTGCTAGTAGTTGCCTTGCTTGTTAAACAGGTTAGCAATCGAAGTTAGGCCTTGGAGATGTTTTAAGAGAAACGCTGGTGGCCATCTCTCGTTCTCTCTTAATCGCCTCTTACGACACCCACGGAAAAGGAAGGGGTGGCCAATTCTATGCCGAGACTACAGGGCAAATTTAGTTTTTAGTTTTCAGTAATATGTATATTTTTTTTCTAGGAAAAAAAAGTTTTTTTGAGACCTCATTAATGAATACTAACACTAGTTTTAAGGAATCAGTTGCGTTAATTGACGTACTGTATAGCGTTCTCTCTCAGTCGACCTTTGGAAAACAGAAATGTATTTGTGCGATGTAAAGAGAATAGATAATTGTACTTACATTGTGTGCCTTCCTTGGCCCCAAACTCCATGAGCATTTTGACAAGAGGTCGATTGCTGGACAGCACGGCGACGTCCAGGGGTGACAGCCCGTCAGCGTTGAGGCTGCAGTAGTGATAATATAGTTTATTTACGTATATTTACACTACTGAGAGTAACAAACAGGATTTCATGAAAGAGAGTGACTACCAAATAATTAAAATACACCTCCAATATAACTTTATATATAAAAATGAATGCTTTTTTCCCTTGGTCACGCCATAATTTGAGAACGACTTAACCGATTTTAATCACTTTTTTTGTTTTCTAACACTTTGTAAAACGTTCAGACGGAAGAAGAAATTAAGAAAATTGCGCAGCAAGTTGGAAAGTTTCAGAAAACATAACGACTATAACTTCGCGCATTTGATGATTGTGAATTTAGCAGAGAGTTTTTTTTTTTTTTGATAAGACAGACGTCTGTTGGGTCAGCTTGTCATAAAATAATTTTTACGATTATTGGAACATTAATCATACTTGTCGTTTTGTCAGTGTAAATAAGAACAAAAAGTATCCTATCTTAAAAGGCTATGGTCTATCTCTGTTCTAAATTACAATCAACTCTGCCCAGTCGTATAAGGCTGATTGTGTAATAACGATCCATACTTATTTACAAACTTTAATAATTATAATTCAAAAATTAATATGTAATTTACAAAACCTTGACAGGGTTCATGTAGAGGACAATTAATTAATACATATATTTAACAACTTTATTACTTTATGATACATAATGACATGACGATAATAATACTTTTTGCTAAAAATAAAAATTAAGAAACTGCAGACGTAATTAATCTAAATTTTCTAAGATACAAAGACCATAAAGTGGATTACATGATGAACCCTAATAGCCTGTATAAACAAGGTATATTTTGTCTGGGTAGAACTTAAAAAAATAAAAAAATTACCTATTAACATCCACATCTGTAGAGTCCAATATGTTTCTCGCTTTATCCAAATATCCATGTTCCACCGCCGCAAACAATGCTGAAACAAGAAGAAAAAAAAAATTAAAAATATATACGTAACTTTAACAAATATACTGATAGATAACATTAACCTATCTTGATACTTAGTTTCTTACGGGGTGTATAGACAGAGAGAAATCTACATTGCATTAGGTGGGCTGTCTGCTTATTATATAATTTTATTCATATTTATGGCCGCCGTATGGTCCCGGCATAAAATGGGCCACGTCTTTCTTTCCAGAGGGTGTCGTAAGAGGCGACTGAGAGAACTTAATGATCGAGGGATGGACAGCAGCGTCTCTCTTAAAACACTTGCAAAGCCTAAGGTTGCCAATGCGCCCTTAGGCTTTGCAGGTGGGGCAGTGGGGTTTTGCCAGTAGTTGCCACGCTTGACAGAGGTTTATATTCAGCAGTGGACAGTTATCGGCTGATACGATTTATATTTATGTAGTTCTAATGAAAAATCTATTTATTTTATAATAATTATGACAAGGTGTTTAATTTATTCCTTGTGAGAATTGAAAGACAATCTAGGCTTTTCGAGACTATCATTGAGCTTTCTTTATACCGTTATTTGTGTCAATATTGTAGATACAGCTAACATAATATTCTTGTATGTGCTACATCCCAATGATGGAGGGAGAAGAGATTATTAATAATGGGGACTAGCTGCCCCATCATTAGCAATATGTCCAGTTAGGTTTACCTCCATGCGCTTTCTTCTGGAAACCATCGTGATTTATTCTTTATGTATTCATCAAGATTGATCAAATGACTTGCTTTCATCCTCATCTATCATCCCTCACTGGTGCCCTGTCAGTGTAAACCGATAGCGTAGGTGGAGTTACCATTGTATTATTATCTATTAAGAAAAAATAATACGCAGTGAATATGTAAAACAAAAAGAAAAATTAAGAAAAAAATATATAAAATAAATAAAACATAAAAAAAAAATACCATGCAAATGTATGTTAACTTGAGCAATTTTGTCTTGTTGCGCGCGCGCATCCTTCTGTTGACGCCGTGTTGCTTTATCTAGGTTGGGGGGGAGCGGAGCGCAAGCGCTTAGCGACGGCAGCTCCCCCCCGCAACCATCGAGGAGCGCGCCGTATTGAAACTCTAAAGAAAAAAAAGAAATTATAAAAAAAACAGAAAATAAACAAAAGTAAAAAAAAAAAATATTATTTAAAAAATTATAAAATATGCAAATAATTAAAAACAAAAGTTTAAAATTTTTTAAGTTTGTAAGATAAACCTATGGGTTACTACACGTTTTGGGATACTGTAAGTGTGATGAGCAATTTATAAATAAATAAATGTCAATAACGCTAATTCAATGTTTATTGCTGATAATTAAAGATTGTGGTCCCACAAAAAAAAACCGACTTCAATTCAGAGAAAACCAGTTATTTTGACTTAGAAACTAAACTATTGACGGACTTTTGTCAACATTTCTATGAAACCAATGTGTATGTACATCTTTTTAGATAAAAATATCCAAATCCGTTTAGAACTGATTATGTATAGTCTGTTATGTGTGAGTTATGAGGTAACAAATATAAAAAAAATACAACCGAATTGAGGCCCTCTTTTTTTTGAAGTTGGTTGTAAATAGCCTTTTGTTGTACATTCTAATTTTCTTGCTGTTCGTTTTCCTTATTTGTAAATTATAATATATACTTAATAAAGTAACAGCATATTATATTAAGTAATACGACGAACCAGTGAATTTTAGTCAATTCTAAGAAATACAAATGGCAGAATCATGGTTAGAGTTATTTATGATTTAGCTATTACTTGTTCATTTCTGAAAATATTCCTTAATACGAGTATGTTTGTATTTAAATATTTGGAGATGAAGTGAAACGATGAGGCAGTAAGTTGGAGTTACTTTTAGACTAGTTGCTGCAGAGAAAGGCCTTAATAATGGTTCCTTCCTTATTTTTTAGTTATCTTGATTTATTCCAAACACATAATTATAATAACTTAGGCCTTTTATATGTATATTAGTATTGTATACACACACACGCACGCACGCACGCACGCACGCACGCACGCACTCATGCACGCACGCACGCACGCACGCTCGTACGCTCGCACGCACGCACGCACGCATATAAAACATAAAATTACCTTTTGTACTATACTATGCTTATTGAAAATTCTTCAAGATTCTCTAATATTGGTACAATAAAGTGTTAAATAAATAAATAAATAAAATATTTTTGAATTTTATTTCATATAATTTCACAGGTTATATCCCGTCGTCGTGTTCCTATGACCTAAATATATTTGATAGTCAGTCAGCTATAAAATACAAATAAAAATGTAGTGTGAAAAGTTTACCCAATGTCGTAAATTCTTACAAAAAATGTGTTCAGTATAAACCGGTTATTTATTTTTGTAAAAAAAGGTTTACAAATAAGTTTTTACTACATAATGGCATGCAACAGTGTCATAACTCATGATAAATGAATGAAAGTGAATATATAGTTAACTTTTGCGGAAAAATATCAGTCCGAAATGTCCGATGCATGGAAGATGGATGGCATTATTGATGGTGTATTTTAATTATTTTAAAATGTCATTCAATATTTGCTGCAAACAGACAGATGGGCGAAATTTAAATGATTGTGCTGTGCGCGTACGGTTATAAAATACGATATTTATCTGACAAATGATTTATTATTTCGGATAAATATAGAGTTTAATACTCATTGGAAATGCCAATGAATGATAAAAATCTCGTTATGCTTACGAAGGATTTATTTCGGATTTGTTTTGACATTTGGTCTAGGTTATCTATGACTAGTTGTTTTATGGTTGGTCTAGTTTATCTATGATTGACATGTTTTTTTTTATGTTTTTGTGAGCTACTTGATTTGATAAACGGTCACGTCTTTTGGTAATGATACGGTGATTATGAAAGGGGAACTGCCCTTTAGGTTCGTTAGATTGCCTGGAAGCATCGAGGCCTAGTGAGTTATTACCTCAACATAAAAGACCTAAGACCTGACCTGAAAGAGAAATGGCCGTCAGCTTGAATTTAGCTGACAAAAAATGGATTATTAGGATGGTTTTAAATAGGTAGGAATTAATTCGGAATGCCGTCAAAAACCTCGAGAGCAAAATATAAATTTAAAAAGAACATTCAAGAGAATGAAATATCTAGATGAGAAAATAATTGTGGAATTACTTATTGTATTAGTCGTGTCTAGATTCTTGTTACTTGGTACAAATATTTAATTTTAATCATTATAAAATATTCAACGATTTTATTTTTAACGTATTCCTGACCGGTAAGAGGCTAATAAAATTTATCTTCTAATTATTCCTTTTCCATTTCCTTCCTTTTTCGTGGGTGTTCCGAGTCGTAAGGCGACTAAGGGGCTTTAATGTTCTAGGGACGGTAGTGTTTCTCTTAAAACATCATCAAGGCCTAACTGCGGTTGCCAACTCGTCTGCCAAGCGTGGCAAATACTGGCAAAGCAAATAAGGCAAAACTGTAGTATATTTATTGGGAACAGTTCTATTAACTTAATGGAAAGCCAATCATCTTTTGTTGAAATAATCACACAAAACACTATCTACATGGAATTAGTAATAAATCGAAACATTTAATAGATTAATCGATTTTTAATTTGTTCTACTATTGGACATTAACAGTCTTAAAATTGGATCAGTTAAATATTTGATAATATTTCATATATTTTAACCAAACAGATCACAATATTATATTTATTAACATGATACGTACCTAAATTCCGTAGAATTGATAAAGTATTTAAAACACCAAAAAAAAAAAAAATTATTAGATCGCTTTGTGGAGTATATTATGGGGAGAATTGTATACCTTTATTAAGAAAACTTAAAATCCTTCCTACAATTCTCCTTTTATGTATACAAAATGTACATATTTATTAATAATATTCATATTTATTTAAAAGTAACTGACATATTAAAGGAAGTAGAAGTAGACATAAATACAAACTACATGTTCCTCAACAAAGAATAGCACTGTTTTCAAAAAGTGTACACTGCACGGCAGTGTACTTTAGAAAATTAAAAAATAATCAATTTAAAAATATACAATTTATTATAATATTTAAACGTACAAAATAAGTACGTGATATAAATATGACATAACTCATTTTTTTCGCAATGTAATATTTATGTTTCTAAATATTGTTATTATAATATTTAATACTAGCAGCCCGTCCAAGCTTCGCATGGATGGACATTTTTACATTTTAAAAAGCAGCCATTAAGACTGCGCACGCGACGGAAACTTAAAAATGGAGTAACTTCTCCCGTTTTCCCAACATTTCCCTTCACTGCTCTGCTCCTATTGTTTGTAGAGTGATGAAAAGTATACTATAACCTGCCCAGGCGTACGAGGAATAATTGTACCAAGTTTCGTTAAAATCCGTCGAGTAGTTTTTGTTTCTATAACGAACATACAGACAGACAGACAAAAATTTTACTGATTGCATTTTTGGCATCAGTATCGATCACTAATCACCTCCTGATAGTTATTTTGGAAATATATTTCATGTACATAATTGACCTCCCTACAGTTTTATTATAAGTATAGATTTATTTGACTTCATGTATAAGAATGATGAATTAACTACATATTAATATGACAGAAACGGCAGGACATGTTTAGGATGTTAATTATAATAAAAGATAATTTGGTACCAATGTAAAGTAAATTAAATAAATAAATGAATTGAAATGAATAAATAAAATTGTAGACAAGCAAAAGAGGAGTTTTCACTTTAATTAGAAACAATAAATTTGTATTTAGCTGGCCATACAAGTGTGGGCGCTCGGGCGGATTTCCGAATGTATTCCGTCCTCAAGGCGGCTCCGAGGTTATGTACAATAGCCTTATTCGGGAGCACGCAATACATTATGATTAGACGGTGAGCCCACGTGTACAAGGTAAACTGCACAACCTTATTGCTCGTACTGTTTGAATTCTGTTTGTGCCGCATGACGGGAATTAAGTTCGTGATAGATATTTGGTAAAGGCATGGACGAAGGCATGTTTTAAACTAGCCTTGCCCCGTGGCTTTGTGCGTAGATATTTTTAATAGATGAAAATGGGAAAATTTCATTCGAACATCCAAAAATCTTTCGATACAATATTTTACATTTATAATATTAGGTATTAGCGCTGAATAAATACATGTATAGGTAAATAATTATTTTTTGTGGTAATATTAATCTAAGAATTTCGATTGGTCCATAGTTTCATTACTGCTATTTCATTCGAGTTTAGATTGTTATAACTACTTACAATATTTTACGTATTAATTTTTAGCTTTAAATAAATGGAGCCAAAACATAAAATTTATGTCGATAAAAGTTTAGAAAATTGACACGACAATCGGATTACAAATGACATTTTCGGAAGGGTCTAGTTCGGAAGGAGTTTGCTATCAATAAATAACTTTTGTAACATCAAGACAAGTTGTACAGTAGTGACACGCTTAGTTTTCATATAAGTTGAGGCACTTGCCGCATCTGTTTCTACCTATGTCTATGGTTATACATATATCTATATTAAAATAAGAAAAGTTTTAGAGTGTGACACCGCATTTCAAATTCAGACCTGGAAACAATATTTTCATTGAAATATAAGGTCGATTCTAAGGTGTCATTTCTCTGAATCTACTAATAAAATTACATTTGATATCACAGTAAAACTTTTATTCTAAGCATTAATATAAATAAACCTAAATTTATATATATTTATTTACATTATTTATTTATATACATATTACACAAGGAATATACAATACGAGTACAATTGAGTCCGCACTAGGCGAACCTGTAGTGCAGGAGTCCATAAAGGGATTAGATCTTGGAAAGGACTTGGTCCAAGACAGAATGTTTAACAAATATAGATCAGTGAGCCAATTACACAGAAACAAACATGACAGAACTTCTAATAGATTAAAGTTAAAATTGTACATATAGATGTAGGTGAATTAAAGGGTATAGAGGCACCTGAGTCCTCAGAAATGGCAACGCATGCGGTGTATCATGGGCGAAACAGTATACTCTGTTATGTCCATGATACTGCTCATGTCTGTAGGCGACGGTTACCA